CCCCGGACGCGTTCCTGTGTGACCTGCTCTGGGTGGTCCTGCCCTGGCAGGGGGGGTTGGACTGGATGATCTTTCCACATCCCTTCCAACCCCCAATATTCTGTGATTCACTGTGTCCGACAAGAGGCAGAAGTAGAGTTTGAGGGCGCGGGTGCTCAGGGGTGGCCAAAGGCAGCTCTTCACCAGCTCCACCGCAGCCGTTTCCCAAATGCAACCAGCAACACCCTGGCCACAAAGGCACACACCAGAAAAAGAGGAGGAGCCGTGTCCTGGACACCCTTTACCACGTCCAGAGGTCGGGCCCGGGCTGGCTGGTGACCTGTACCTCTCACGGCTGCAGGGGTGGGGGACTCTGAATCAGGCATTTCTCTTTCTGCGCCCAGAACGGGAGGAACTGCTCGAGGTTAGACGCAAACTCACCAGGGAAAGACAAAGAGATGAAAAAAAAATCCTCACGCCACCCTTGAGATACTCCGGCTGCAAGAAAGAGATAGGGAAAGGAGCCACGGGCATAGCCAAGGGGGGGCCCTTGCCTGGAACGACGCCCGTAGGAGAGCTTCATCTTTTCCCACCGTCACCTCCAGGATCAAAACCTGCCCTTTTTACTGTTCTTGAAGGTCACCTGCGATAACACATAACCTATCAGCACCTTTAATGAAAAGCCCAGCTGCTAAAAGCTGATTTTAAGAGTACAAAGAGGTTTTAGACTTCCAATAAATAGAGAAACAGCCCCCTTATTTCAAAAAAAAACCCATAAAAAATCAGACACTGGATTTGACAAAAATATCCTTCACCTCGCAAACAAAGGAAGCAGTTGAACTTTCACACGGGCTGGGATGAGAGATTTTGCAACGTCTAATCCAGAAGAAGGTATTTCATTTCCTCCTAACTTCAGCAGCTGCTGCGGGCACTAAAGCATTTTTCAGTGGCCAGATTCATCTGATCTTGAGAAACGCTCTGAGCGCACGCAGCAGCGCAGCACTCCTCCCCCCTCCAGGAGCAGCGGCATCGCAGGAACTTCAGAAGATGCACGTGCAGCTTCAACGCAGGGGCTTCGCTAACTGCTCAGAGGCAGATTTACTGGGGCTGGAGGGTGAAGAGCTGGGCTAACTGGGCACTGTAGGGGCAAAGACAGCAGGAACGTGGCCCGGGGCTGTGTGAGGGACCGTCCTTTCCAGGCGAGGAACTGGCAGTGCCTGCACAGCACCGAG